GTGAGCAGCAGCTCATTTGCATTTAAAGAGACAGGCCCGAAAAACAGCGTGTTTCTGCTTCCACTCAACATAGGCATTTTCAAAATGATATAATAAATGATCTGTGGAGTATTTTGAGCTGAAACTTCACAGACACATTCTGGGGACACCAGAGACTTATATTACATATTGTAAAAAGGGGCATAATATGTCTCCTTTAAAGTAAACATCAAAGTACATTAAAGTTTCTGTCTGTCAAAATAGTTACACAGAAATACTGTAAATTACTGTACTGTAAATGCAGCTTAACTTTGGTAAATTTTTTAATATCGGTAGTATTTGACTTGCTCCTGATAGCTGTTGTATGAAAAGGGCAGTTTCAGAATCACATCTGTCAGTAAATACAGTTGCCAGAGACTGATTTTGTGAATGTAGCCTGTGTGAGGTTGATCCTGCACATACAGCATAGTTGTCAGAATCCACTCCGCTTTGCCCTGCTTACACAGATTGGGGAATTATAACCTCCAGACAGATGTAAAGCAGACTCTAAAGTGGTGACAAGTGTCTAAAGAGGAAGAGGACATCAGGTGCCTGTGTGTATATGGCCCGGCAAGTGAATGTTCTTTCGTTTAAGGTATGTCTCACGTTGAGGCTATGCAGGGCTCACTTACAGAGCACTGTAAAGAGTTTTTTTTTTTCTTCAGGATATTGAAAGAGCTTGACTGTTTGGGTAGATTTCTGTGCATGTGGATTTGTTAGTCTTTCGACCGGAGGATGTGTCAGGGAAGGAGGCTAAAGATCACAGATGTGTGTAATGAAATCAAATCCCTCTGGTCTAAACTAAGAGGAAATTTTTACTGAAGTACTCACTAGTGCTCTCATTGCACATTAGTGCCATTACTTATCATTAAGCAAGCAAACCATCAGAGTGAGCGGACAAAGGATATCCATCTTGTATAAAGAAATGGAAAATGTAAAACTGCACATTTCAGTGAATAATTTATTACTTACTTAAGTAAAAAAGCATACATTGTCTCTCAATAGGCAGGGGACAACTGGGAGGGGGAAAGGGGGTAAATATTCCACCAGGTGAACATCATTTGTACAGGTGGATGTATAATTCAGCAAGTCATTTCAAGTCTAGCTAAAGCAAACTCTTGCCTACTTTGTAGGAACAATTTCAAAGAATGAGGCTTGATTAAAGGAAAGCCACACACTAATAGAACTCTAGGAATTATTTTGTACTATTGCTTAAATGACTTTGCTTTAAGTGCACTGCTCAGAAGCATTTCAAATGTAGTTCTTTCCACCTATTTTTTTTTTCTTCTCATAATGGGAGTAAAAATTTGTTGTTGTCCCGAACGTCTTTTACATATAAAATAATTTAAAAAAAATGTTTGACTAAAACTGAAACTCTAAACAAAAAAGTTGTTTTAAATGCTACAAGTGAATTTTGCATTACAGCATTATAATGTACAGTATGTAAAATTTTCTTGAAATTTTTCAAGAATAACTCTGAGTGTTAGATTACAGCAAAGGTAATCTACATTGAAAAATAGCAGTAAGCATGAACAATTAAATAGGCAACATTGGCTGAAATAGTATGGATATAGTTTGTATTTCTTGGACAGTAATCAAATTTAAGCAAGTTTTTTTGACACTGACCGTGTGAATGACTGTCAGTCATTAAAGCAAAAAGGGATCATACAAGATATAAAGAAATACTGAAATGTACACCCTAGTGAAAAAATATACTAAAATGCATTTGAAATACATATATTTTGTGCTAAGTATACTACAAATACATTTACATATTTATGTGCTTAATAAAAATACCCTGCAATTATACTTTTGGTATACTGGACTGGTATTCTTAAAGTCTGCTAAACTGGAACAAATAATTTTGTGCTTAATGTACTTTAATTGTGTGGAGGTAGAGGTCCAACTAAAGATATATTTGATTGTGCTAAAGTGGAAGTACTTCAAGTATACTTCAGGTACACTTTAAATACCTTGCATTTAAAGACTGATATTATACAGAGATCATACAATCCTTATTAATAGTGATATTAAAACACATTTAAGGAATAATACTAAGAAATGTGCAATAAAGAAATACTCCAAATAATGTTTAATTATAATTTTATATCAGTAAGCCTTAAGTGAAACACCATTAAATATGTTAATGGATTTGAAGTATGCTTAGTATGAAATAAATGTATTTTAAATGCATTATGGCATGTTTTTTTTTTTTTTTTTACTTTTTATTGTAATAGTTACGTTGATATCATTTGTAATGAAAAAAATTAAATACTGTGTCTATAAAATAGTATGATTTTAACCAGACAACAAAGCAGTTTGTTGATTCTTTCTTTGATCTTTCTCTCAGTTCGGCTGGTTTGTGAGATCTGAACATGTGATTGAGCTGAAATCTAGAAGACCCACAGTACAAACCTGTCAGAGGTAATTGCGCTGCCAACCTGAGCGGGCAGGAAGAGGGTGGGGGTAATGTAGGGCAGTATCCACTTTACACCATGACTCAGAGCTTTACCTACCGTGTAGCAGCCAGAAAATACATAGCCTGTACTTTTCTTTTTTGAAAGCACAGCTCTAAAAACATCTCAATAGTTGTGGCTAAGCTGAAGTCATTGAGACCCCTAAATAGGTGGTCTCGTTTTACTTGAAATGGAAGTCGTAGCTTTTTGAAAAAGGATGATTCATTAATGTGCATCTGCACTCATTGTCCAGCTCTAGTGAAAGTGATTTCTGACAACTTAAATGGGTTAATGTGGTAAAAAGCGTTCTCATATCTGTATTAGATAACTCTTCCCGCGTCGAGATCTTTTATGCCGATTAACAATGGTATGTTCTGTAACCAGATTCCATTACCACGAGGAAAAAAAGACACCCTCTTTATGGATTCAGCTGACAGGGTTTGCATTATCCCTGGGCTTTCCACGCTCAGATGCCGCAGCAGATTGTCTCTGTACCAAGGGGCACATTTACATGCTCCTAATCTCCCCCAGATGTTCTGCAATGACACAGACAGTGATAAAAGGGACATGTCCAGGGACAGTCATGTGACCATTTCACCTCTATTGTCGTATTCTATCAGCATCAGTTGGTTGCTTTCTAATCGAACTAACAGTTGGTAGAGCATTTCTTGTGACAACAAAATTACAGCCGCGGTTGACGATGTTATGGGGGTTTGTGTGGCATCACTGTCATTCACGAGCCACACAACCAGAAAGCAAGCAAGCATTTTCATACGATTGTTTTTTTATGTAAATACGTGCTAGACGACGTGTTGGACCGCAACGCTTGTGCCTCACGTTATTTACAGCATCTCACACATGACGTGCTAAAGCTTCTAAAAAAGTGAAGCTATAGTTAAAATAACTTTTTTTAGTTTTTCCCCATATAAATCAATATATAAAAAATAATATGCTGTTTGCTTAATATCAATTTTAATATTAATTTTAATAACTATTAATAAAATCAGTTTCTTGACTTTTTTGTTATTTTTGCTGTTTAATGTATATTTATGGAAAATTATAGGACTACATTTATGCCAAAAGCAAGACAATTAAGTCATTTTTAAAAAGCTGAAAAGTAATTAGTTTTTTTTCTCCAAAAATTTATTTCTTTAAAGCACTAAATTGCTAATGGGACTGCTAAGGGAACTGGAATTGATAAACTGATCAAATCCAGAATCGTTAATTTATTTACTGTATGATTCCAGTCTCTGCTAACGGCTTTTTTTTTTAACAAAGGACAAGCCATTCAATATGTCCCACCTAAACTTCCCGTTTCATTAGGAATTGCATTAAAACAGGAAAGGAAACTGCCCTCGCCAACTGATTTCATAGGGTCTTTAAACAGTACACAGATTTACTGGGGCCACGGAGGGGGGCCGAGCTTGTTGACACTGCCACTGCCCTTTGGAACTGAATCACACATGTGCGAAGAGAAAATGACGAGTTAGCATTCTGTTCATCACTTTTCACCAAACATCTGTTTGTTGCTTCAGGGGGGGAAGATACTGCTCAGATAGACTAATGTTGATCAGGTCTCTGTCGGTTGTCCGTGAAAATGCTTTCCTTACTGGAAACAGGGGTGTCTTTGAGTAGAAATATGCATTTGATTCCACAAGGGCTGACCTTTGACCTGCACTACACTCAGTACCTGTGGGCCCTAAATAACTAAAGCAGGCTAGTGTGACTGCTTGTTTCCAATAAATAACAGATGTTCCAGACAGGAAACAAGTACAGCATTTCTCTAAAAAAGAGTCCCACATGCTGAAGCGCGTTCTCATTAAGTGTCACTCACTGTCCATTTTAACCTCCACACGGCTAGTCTCATCTGCAGAAGGGACTTGTTGGTTGTGTTTTATAGCCCTACGCATCAACCACACATCTATGTCCGTGCTCTTGTCACACTAACCCAGGTGTGTTATCAGACCTGGTGCTGTAGAAGCTCTGTGATTTGATGGCAGTGTTTCGATGTGAATGCTACAGGCCTGTTCTTCACAGGCAGCAGTGCTGGCGGCTGTCTGAAGTGAATAGAGAGATGAACTAACCAAGGCCCAGAGGCTTCATCCTGTGCTTCTGTGTTTGTGTGTCTCCATGCAGGGATGGGGGAGAATCAGAGGAGGATGCTGGAGGCTGTCAGCTACTCTTCCCGCTATGCACTTGGACTCTTCTACAAAGCCGTCACACGAATCGATGTCCCTTGGGCAGTCAAGTACGTCTCCAATAATCCCTGCATTCGCTTCATCGCCATAGATGATAAAAAGCGCAATTTAGGTCAGTGCCTTCATATTTTCCTCCTCTCATCTCCAACTCCCGCTCTGACATATTTTGTTCTGTTTCTCTGCCTTTTCTGTTTCTTTCTCAGTGTTTCATGTATCAGGATCTTTTTTCACACTGCACACAAATCTGATTTGGTTTTAATTGCGATGTTTTTCAAATCCAAACTGGTGCCGATTGACTTTTACACATGGTCATGGTCATAATCGGTTTCAGACACTCACAGAAATGACACAGTTTAGACGGTGTCACTGTTTCTATTTTTTTTTTCTTTTTGGTTGACAGCCCTAAAGACATTTCTAATACCCTTCCCTTCCTTTCCACCCTGTTCCTGTCATGTCCTTTTCTGTCCTTTCTTTGAATTACATTACTGTCTAATTGAGTTTGTCTGCCTTGAGGTGTCAAGAAAAGGGTTGTGTCTTAAAATTATGCTAAATGCTCATATGTGTATTTACACCAATGTCTGGACAAGCATGTTATGTAAGAAATAATACATGACATATTAATTGAAAACCACATGTACATCTTATCTTATCCTATCTAGTATTTTAAGGGTTCTTTCTGAAACACTTTTGTGTGAATTTTCCACTCTGATTACTTGTTAGCCAGATGAAATCAACCTTACTTATTCAAAAGTGTCAATTATTCGGTTCCAAAGGGTGTTCCTAACATTAGATGGCTCAAATATGCCTACTAAGGTATCTTGTTCTTGCTAAAGCAGTATCACATTTATCGTTTATAAAAGAGATGATCTCAGACTGCACTGTGATGATTGTTTTTTCTTCTGGATGATAGTCCAAGGAATTGCTGGTTGTATTTATTTAGCACTGGAAAGTATTGACAATAGTTATTGTCAATACTTTCCAGTGCTAAATATTGAACTATTGAATAAAACAAGGACATAACTATTGAAAATAGTTCCGTCTAAATATTTGTGGGTGCTACAGGTACAGGAAAAAGTATGTAATTTACCTGAATTTCTGCAGTGTGTCGGGAAATTACTTAAAAGCGTATCACTGTTTGTGCCTTATTTATTGTGGTTTTGTTGTGTTTTGTTTTGTTTTGTTTTCGAATACATTGTTTTCTATAAGTGTACAGTACACACACAGAGTGGCAGCACCACTTGGAGACTGTCCATGGCGCCCAGCTATGACTAATGCCGAGTTCACACTGCACGATTTTCAAACTCGTCGGATCGCCGTTGTTTTCACACTGCGTGACTATCTGGGGTAGCATTCAGTTGCTGCCGTGTTCACATTGCACGATGGATCGGCGACAGGGGGTTTCACATTGCATGACTTCACAGTAGGAAGAATCGCCGACAGCTCTGTCTGGTCCGCAAACTACGTTCCACAACAAAACACACACGAGAAGTGATAAGGAAATAACGC